CTTTCTTATTCACGCATCTCTTCCCATATCCACGGGTGTGGAATGGTCCTTAGTCGTGTGGAAAGGTGGGCCCCACATACACAGATGGCCCAAAATAGGAAAAAATCAAGCACACTAATGATGAGAGATGAGTGAGTCAGGTCTAACCAAGAGCAACCAAGGAAGAGGTAAGAATGAGGAGGGATCTCCATAAAAGCCTGAGTTGTCTTCAGTCCCCCGTCCCATCATTGTCTTGATGAAATCTCTGGATTTCAGAAAGACCAAAAAAGTCAAGGCAGGGTCCCAGCCCAGCTAAGAGGCATGTTCTCTGCAGGAGCCTTCTATCATCCAGGGTCATCAGATCCAACCCTGGAAGCTTTCCTTCAACTACGTTGCAGGAATATCATCCCAACTTATGTTTCTTTTCTCCTTCATCCAGTCTTCTCTCTAAATCAACTTGTACCCAAACTCTACCCTGTTCTTTTCATACTTTGGCTCAAAAATCACAGAGTGATCAGACACAGACACTGGTCATTCTCCAACCTGTATTCGCTCAACCCACCTCAAGCTTACCAGAGCTGCAGTGGCTAGTCCTATACCATGAACACATCAAATACTCCATCCTTCTCTCTTCTGCCTGAGAACTTTCTCTGTACCATAGGAAGTTGCGCAGCCCAGATGTATGTCATTCTGTGCATGGTATAGGGTTTGCAACCTGCTCCTCCTGGAGAAACATCAAACAATAAGGGAATGGATGCAAAGGATAAATAAAAAGTTTTCAAAGGAATTGTCTTGATGTGTGCATTTTCTTTCATTTCTTTGGAGGGTCTTCAGCAGGAGGAAGGCCCCGTTGCCAACAGCAATGATTCTAGGGTGGGGGGATTGTTGTTGTTGTTGGATTTTTTTTCCTTTACTGTTTTCCTCCTCTCCCTCTTCCCACCTTCCTAAATCATTTCTCCCCCCCCCCCAAAAAAAAAAAACACCATCAAAGCACTTGTCGAAGGGTTGGACTTGAGTGTTCACAGATACCCTTGCAGGGCTGGAGAGGGAGGTGCCTTTTAGTGTTAAGTAGAGATGATTTGGGACATAATTATAGACCAATAAAGGAAATATTTTCAGACATATAACCTCCATAAATAACCTTTATGCAAAGCCTACAATGAGTGTTTGAAAATGTCTGAAAATGACAATATGTTCTGACATACTTACACTGATAACCACAATGGAACAAACGTAAACTAAGATTCCATGCCTGGAAATGCAATTTATTCATTAGGGAAAAATATAAACTACTTTTTCTCCATAGGGATCAATTGGAACTGCCAGTGCTGAATGTGATGAAGGCCACAGAAAGCCAAAATTGATCCCATTAGGTACAACCATTGATTGATGACTAGCTATGTTTTTTCTTTTTGGGGGTCCGGTCGTGGGGCCTGAACTCTGGGCCTGGGCACCCGGGGCCTCAAGCATGCAAGGCAAGCACTCTATCACTGAGCCACCTTCCCAGCCCTGATGACTAGCTATGAACCAAAATAGTTACATCATTTAGGTCTAGGAGCCTTGTGATTGAATGTAAATGGACAAACCTGCTCTTCCTTGTTCTTAAAGAAAGATATGAAATTTATTGTTCAGACAACCCCCATTTATCCTTAACAAACATCAGACCCAGACTAAAAAGAGTGGTAGTACAGAAATGGCCAAAGTATTGACAAGTGCATCATTTACATATATGTCATTATTAAAATGTTCATTAGCATAAAATAGGTATATACAGGGGTTTCACTGTGATATTTACTTACATGTATACAAGGTACTTCAAGATACTTTGCCTCTTCTATGTTACTCTTTTTGTTGTTATTGTTGTTGTTGGTCCTGGGGCTTGAACTCTGAGCCTGGGTGTTGTCCCTCAGCTCTTCAGCTCAAGATGAGTGCTCTATCACTTGAGCCACAGTGCTATTTCTTGTTTTCTAGTGGTTTATTGGAGATAAGAGTCTCACAGACTTTCTTGCTCGGGCTGGCTTTGAACCGAGATCCTCAGATCTCAGCCTCCTGAGTAGCTAGGATTACAGGCATGAGCCACCAGCACCAGGCCTATGTTACTATATATATATATATATATATATGTATATACCTATACTCTTTATATATATATATATATACATATATATATATATATGTGTGTGTGTTTTTTATTGTAGAAATACTGGCCGATGTTACTCTTAATGCTTTAATAATACATTTCTATAATATTCCAATGTCCCTTGTCTCATGGATCTTCTTGCCTGGGCTGGCTTTGAACCGCGATCCTCAGATCTCAGGCTCCTGATAGCTGGGATTATAGGCGTGAGCCACTGGTGCCTGGCTAAGAAATCACTTTTAAAGCAAATAGTATTGAAAAGAATTTTATGAACCAAAATCCACCATTCATAAATTGAGATGGTCACTTACCTACGGTAATATACTTTGGACCAAAATAATGTCTGTATACAAATCTTAGTATTATCAGTGACTATATAATTACTTCATTCAACTTATTAACTTTGCTATTGTTTTCCTTACTGGTTACATGTAAATGATGGCACTGAGAGATAGTGATGAGGGAAAAATGATGTGTTTGCAAAGTTCATGACCCATAGGAAATAAGAGGGAAAAAAGTGAATTCTATCCTCCCACTCCTAGTTCTTAGAAATCTAGTAGACAAATAATCATATTTTAACATAAAGTGATTTCTAAAAATAGAGATGATGAAAAGCCTGAATTGTTTTAACGGGAGAGGGCAGTGAGCCATGAAATTGTGAACAATGTTCTCAGGAAGTGAATATTAAAACAACCAGAGTCTCAATTTGTCCGCTAAACTCAACCCAGGTCCTATTTAGCAGGAAGGATCAAATGTTACACAAAGAAAAGGCATTGGTTACTCTGCTTGGTTGACCTGTCTGAGTCTCCATGATTCCATGGATTATACTAGACATGTAACAAGTGATTAGGTGATTCATGTTCATGCTTTGCTCTGTACATCTCTTAGCCTTCCAGAGAGAAATCCTTGGTAAATTGGATTCAGATTTCTCACTTTCTTTAATTCAGTCTGTCAAATCTAATCATACCCTACTTAAAGAGTTATTTATATTATAGGGGATGATGGGGGAGGGGACAGACAAACAGAGAGAAGAAGAGTGGGCAGGTGCAGTTATAGTATTCCATGTACATATGTGAAAATAGAACCAGGTAATTTGAAGGGATGGGTGATGAGGGGAAATGATGCATTATACTCTTAAACTGACACGTTGAATCGAAATCCCTTTGTACAATGACTTAAAGATAATTCAAAAATAAGTTTAAAAAAATTTAAAGGAGTTTCTGACAATGGGCCCAAGAGACTCTTATTGCCTTGCCCAGAAGTTTTCTGGGTTGTTAATGATCAACAACTTACTGCCTGCTCTGGGGAAGCTGCTATAGTTTACACTGGGTAGTTTGCACTTAGGTTGTGTGTACTCTAAGGGATTAGGGGAGGGCTCCATTAGGATGTTAAGGTTGCTGTAACAAGGAACCACAAGTGAAATGGCTTAAACCACAAAAATGTCGTGGATGTCCACGACCAAGGTATAGGCAAGTCTGATTTCTTCTTAACTTGTGGATGGGCACCTGCTCTTTGTGTCCTCACAGGTCTTTCTTCAATGTGCACATCCCTGGTATCTGTGTGTGCTCCCAAGTTTCCCCTTTTAATGAGTAAACTGGTCGGACTGAGTTAGACCCACTATCAGGCTTTACTTTAAGTACCTCTCTAAATACCCTATCTCCAAATATGGCCAATTTCTGAGTTACCAGGTGTTAGGGCTTTTATTTGAATGTTGAGAAAACACAATTTAGGCCATAACAACTACTTACAGAGTTAGGAAATAAGATCCCATCCAGATCCTTCAGACAGTGGGTGGCTGAAGGGCAGAGGGAGAAGAGGAATGCACCAGAAGTATGCAGGAAGTCCCAGAAGTAGATGTTCCTGTGAAAACAAGATGGGCCTTATCCAGCCCCTTCATTTCCTCCTGAGCTCATGGTCATATGCTTTCAGGACATGATTCATTCAAGAACTACTCTTCTACAGGTTGAGGCCCATCTCCTTATCCCCGGTCCTCTTACCTAGCCTAGGAGATACTGACAACAGCCATTAGCCAGAGGAACCTAAGAATTCTGCTGATCGTCAGTCGCAGCCATCACTGTCTGTGCTTACAGTAGAATATTCAGCTCTTTCTAAAATATGCTGCATCTTTGGACTTATCTTTCAGTTGCCAGATGGGAAGCTGAAGAAAAGTACAAGCCAGAGCTAGCAAGATCAAGCCTGGAGTCTAAAAAACCATAACTTAAGCACAGGAAAACTAAGAAAATGGTCATTGTGTCAGACCATCACACATTCCTTTTCCTGAAGAGTTTTCTGCTGTGACCTTCTCTGTCCTGGGAACTGGTACTGTCACTGACCATAGTCTGAAAGCTTTTAGGTCACCTCAATAGTGCTGTCTTTTCGGTATCTAGCCAGACATAGAGATCAACCAGGCTACACTCTGATGGGGGCTATTTAATTATACATACCTCTCTCTCCCCCAGGCTCCAATTCTCCCTCCATTTAAACCTGAAGATCATGACTGTACTGCAAAGATGGGCTGAAATTCTTGCTTTTCCTCTTCCCATGGCCTGGCTTGTACTCTTTACAACTCCTTCTATCCTTATCTTGGTGTATTAGGGCAAGTGGCCTAATATATGCCTCTCTGGAGTCAGGCCTAAAAATACCACAGAGGGCAAAAAAAGATGAGCCCCTGTAGTCTCTGCCACAGGGCCTACCCAGAAATACCAACTGTGCCCCAGTTATCTCTTGAGGAAAACTTGGCATTTTAGTTACATTAAACAAACATCACAAAACATCACTAAAACGTATCAAAAAATATTTTTTTGCTTTTAAATGATCAGCTTTATTCTTGGAGTCAACCTAAATGGATATCAAACCCATCACTGCAAGGTATCATAGGAATTATACTATTTCTTCCTACATGTTTCAAGCCTCATACTGAACAATGAATTCTGGATTTCAAAAGAGGACTTGCTTATTTTTGATATGTCTGTAAAATCTTTGTTACAAATTAAAAAAGACCGACACACAAGAGAATCTTCCATTCTTGATGTACTTGCTAAGAGTGGCCAGATATTACCTCACAAAAAGACCTTTAAATGTTAACATTCTGTCGTGGGATTGGAGCTTCCCAAAAGATTTGAGCTATTCCTTTGTCATTATGGTTCTTAAATTATTACCGCTACTACTTTTTCTTTTTCTGTTACCTTTAAGTAGTTGTACAAATGAGGTACCATTTGCCAAAGTGGTTTATGAATGCAATGAGATCAGCGTCTCCCTCTTCAACATCTTTAGCCCCCTTCAATCCACCTCTTACCTTACTTTTCTTAATTTTGTGGTATATACAATGGATTCTTTTTTTAATAAGTTTTTTATTGTGAAAATACTGTACAGAGGGGTTACAGTTACATGAGCAAGGTAATGAGTACATTTCTTATCCAGCATTGTTGCCTCCTCCTTTGTTTTTCCCCTACCATCCCTTCCCTCCCACCCCCTCAACTTATACAATGGATTCTTGATTGCATTCTTCCCCCCTCCTTCATTTTTTGACCCCTCTTTCCTTGGTCCCATTCCCCTTGCAAGTACCCATTTCCTGGTGCTTATTTTGTTGGGTTTTTAACTGTCTTTCTAAAAAAAAAAATTACACTATTTGAACTCTCCATAGAGTCTGCTATATTTCAGTTAGTTCATTTGTGACCACTTGCATACTACCATGTGTTTACTTATAGATTTATGGACACATTCTATACCTAAAGGAATCATTTTTATTGTTGGTGAAGTGCAAATGGAGATTTTACCAAAAATGCAAATTAAATCCAAATGCAAAAAACAAACCCACCCCCACTTTATTGTACGTTGTTCCACTTGCTACTTTGGGGGTTGGAGGTAGGAATCTAATGTCCTTCCCCTGTGCTTGTGAGCAGCATCCTCACATTCACAGCTCAGTGTCATGTGATTACAATGTGCATAAACACCATGTTTGCCTCTGGCTCTGGCTTTGTCTGTCTGAGTAACCTGTCCTGTAGTTAACGCCCCAGCTTTGTTGACACAGCATGTAGTTGAGTTATAAGTCCCCTAAGTCAGCCTTCCTGAGGGCTTGTACCCAAAAGACTTTCCTTCAGGACTGCACAGGACTGCACACTCACACAGAGAAACCATGACGTTTACCTTACCATGCATGGCAGGACCCTGAGATTCTGCCCCTAGAAGGGTTTCCCTCTCCATCCTGAGGAGGAAGGGAAAGTGCCTGCATAGCTAGGTCTGACCATGAGGATTTCTGGAATGTCCAAGCTAGAGAGATTAGGATAACATACTGTGTATTTTACAAGCTTCTAGAGTTACCTAGGTGGGAAATGGGGTTCCAAAGGGGAAAGTAGATTGTCCAGAATTGCACCAGCATAGCACTCCACCACCCACTCCCATTTTCTGAGAGGACAGCCATGAGATTACAGAGACCTAACTTCACAGGACCACTTTCTATTTGTGTGTCTCTAACTTAATTTTCCTAACTTCTCTAAGCCTAAAATGCATCTATGTAAGGCGTTTTGACTCATGAAAAATCATCACTATGTGACATTGCCTCCAACCGTGCCTAGAACAGTGAGAGGACTATTACTGAAATGAATGGCAGAACACACCTGCCAAGTCCCATTTGTCATGAAAGGTAAAAGGTTGAAAGGTTCTGGGGATTAGGATCTGGACATTTGGAGGATCTATTATTCTTCCTACCACAGGATCTTTTAAGAACAATAGAAGTGATAGTACTGATAATCAAAATTAAATCTCTTTGAGCTGCATATATGGGGAAATTTTACAAAACTGCTTAGACCCTAAGAAGGAAGCCTTGAAAGTTTTAACCTATTACCCCGGTGGAGGGTGGGGGGGATAGAGGGACTTCAAGTAAGAAATCTATGTTGATCTCCTCTGATACATCCTGTGGAACTTTTCCAAGCTTCCCATCCCAATGAAAATAGGGTGTTTCTTTGCAGGCTACTTGACAAAGGCCTTAATGCTTCTTATGGTAAGTTCATTTGAAGGGAAATAGGAAATATGGTTTTATCAAGTAGAACATCAATTATGAGAGACAGACATTGTGGGGGGGGCTTACTATGTTGAACCCAGCTACTCATTTGTGTTCTTAGCAAGAAGACTATATACCCCTAGGCATGCATTTCTAAGGATGACATGGCCTTCCCATTAAATCCTTTAAAAATAGGAAGGAAAAGCTCATTTTCTCTCTTATCCACAGGAATAAAACCTTGTGGGCTGACAGGTGTTGTGATGCAGGAAGCTCTATAAGATGAAGATTTCATTTTCTCCCCCACTTCTCATCTCCCTGGGGATAAGGGATTCTCTTTCTCCCGGAAACCCACCTCATACCATTTGCAATGGCAAAGGAGATACTTTGATAGATTACAAATTGTTTTCGGTAGCTGACCTAGACATAACATCACTACTTCCTGATTATATTGATATGTGTTTCTATTATTTGCTTATTTGTGCCTCTAGAAACAATTCTTTTTTGTTGTTTCACTGTAAACAACATTGCAAGGTCTCCGTATTAAATCATAATTATTTACCCATGCAGTTCATGCACCTTTGTCCCTGGGGAATCCAGTGACGTGAATTTACAGGAACATCAGGGTATTTCTCACCAACCGTTTCCTGTTATTGATATGCTTTTGTTTAGTGGTGATCTTTTTTTTTTTTAACTCATCGGTTTCTCAAGAGGAAAATAAACAGGCACGTGACAATTATCACAGTCATGGGATCTCTTCAGGGGACCTCACAAATATGTTTTCATCAGAGACTGTGGAATTGTGTATACAGACAATTGGTTATCATTCATTTGTTCTCCCAGTTTTCCCACACACTTCAGATAACTATCTCAGCAAACATGCATTACGTTATGTAGGAGAAATTTCGCCTCCTGAAACAGCCTGCCTTAAAACAAAAAAAATTGTTATTATACAAATGATGTACAGAGCTAAGACAAGAATGTTAATAAGTATAACAGACTTACTGATAAGCTATATATGATTTATATGAACAGAACTACAGAAATCTAAGGGGTGAGTATTCATCTGCTAAGTAACTATATTGATTGGAACTCACATGAGCCTAAAGTTTCTTGCCAGCTACATCAGTGAGCTCTAGTACTTAATTTCTAAATTAAATCTTTTAAGACCTTGGAAAAATAGGAAAAGATTTCAAGCTTTTTTAGTCTTTCTGTTTAGTCTGTCTAAATAGACATGCATTGTGATTTTCAATGTCCACTTCTAATTGAGAAATTTGATTTTTAAATTGTACTTGGTTTTTGTTTTTGGCAGTACTGAAGTTTGAAGTTTAGGTCTGATGTTTGCTAAACAAGTTTTCTACCACTAAGCCATACCTCTAGTGAGAAATGAGATTTTTCTTGATGCATTATTTATTTGGTGGTACGGGAATCAAACCCCAGGCTTAACATGCTAGGCAAGAACTCTACCACTGAGTTATACTTCTCACCTGAGGAACAAGATACTTTATTCTCAAACATATTCGGGAAATAACGGCTGTTTTATAAGCCCTCTCTTCTCCATCAATATTATATAAAACATAAGCTGAAATTGGACATTAATCAATAAGTTTCTAGAACTGTCTTATCCAAGTTAGTAGTCACTAACAACCTGTCTAATATTTACATGTAGGCTGCCATAAGAATACCTAGTCCACCACTTCCAGCGAAAGCCTAACAGGAAGATAGAGGTTGTCAGCACTACGTGAGTTATAGGACATAACACAAAGGCGGGTAATTTATATTCTTGGCCATATGTGAGGCTTTGAAGCCCACAGGACTTGAGAGTCCCAGGGAGGAGAAACTGACTCGCTGTTTCTTCCCAGTGTGTGGAAATCGAACATGTCATCTCATTGTCAAGGATGCTCTGTCCATCTTCTTTTTTTTCCTACGTTTTTTCAATTTTATTTTATTGTAAGGATGCTGTACAGAGGGGTTACAGTTATATGAGTAAGGTAATGAGTACATTTCTTGTGGAGTGAGTGGGGGATGTGGAGGAGGAAAGGGATAGTAGGAGAAAAACAAAGGAGGGGGTAACAATGCTCTATCCATCTTCTTCACCTTGTTTTAGAGATAAAGGGGAAATCAACATCAAAATGCTTGTCCAAAGCAGCACAATTTTTGGTCAGTCAGAGCAACTGAGCACTGCACACTGAACAATGGAAGTTTGAGTTCGGGTTTTTTTTTTTAAAGAAACTAATGTAAATGTCATCTAATTATTGAAATTATGAGTATTGTTTTCTAAAGTGTATTCAATAGGAAGTAATGTAAAATATAAACATAACAAAATAAATCATTCTATTAAAAAAAGATGTTTGCAGGGGTAACGTTAAGTGAATATATAGTCATTTAGTTCTGGTTTTCCATTCAAGCTTTACTAGAAAAAATTTTCCCAAAGAGAAAAGTAGCTTTGTTCAACCTCTTCTGTACCTAAACACCTTGATCTGGTTCTAGAGAGAAGGAGTTCCCTGTTGAGGAATGAATGGTAAATTTTCAAGTATGTGATTGGCATTCTTGCCAAGATTATACTGAGGAAGGATAGATAGGTAATACAACAAGAAATCAAAATTAATATATATAAATGTTAATAAATAGTAAAAGGGCCAGGCTAGGTGTGGTGACCCGTGCCTGTAATGCTAGCTACTTAGGAGTCAGAGGTTATGCAGATCATGGTAAGAGGACAGCCTAAGTTAAAAAAAAAAAAAAGAAAGGTTACAATATCCCATTTCAACCAATAATACACTGGGTATAGTGGTACATACCCATCACCCCAGCTACACAGGAAACATAACTAGAATTGTGGTCCAGGCTGATGTAGGCATAATGTGAGAGTGAGACTCTACTCAAAAAAATAATACAAGCAAAAAGGGTTAGAGGCATTGCTCAAGTGGTAGTGAGCCTACCTAGCAAATGCAAGGCTCTGAGTTCAAACCTCAAAACCAAAAGGAAAGCCAAACTCTGAAATAAACCAGAACCAG